AGGAGCAATCCCTTTAAGAGTGTGCTCCTAATCTCAGCTCGTTACCTGTATAAAAGACACCTGGGAGCCAGAAATCTTTCTGATTGAGAGGGGGTCAAATACTTATTTCCCTCATTAAAATGCAAATCAATTTATAAAATTTTTGACATGCGTTTTTCTGGATTTTGTTGTTGTTGTTATTCTGTCTCTCACTGTTCAAATAAACCTACCATTAAAATTATAGACTGATCATTTCTTTGTCAGTGGGCAAACGTACAAAATCAGCAGGGGAACAAATACTTTTTTTCCCTCACTGTACCACTTAGGTCCCACATTACCCTAACGTGACCCTGTCTGTTCCCGTTACATTATTTAGTAACCATGGCCACGGGGAGCCATACTGTCTCTACATCTCCCTGTACTGTCCTCACACATGTATGCTTCATTGACCAGTTCACCACTAAATGCGATCAGAATGTGAGAGAGAGCCCAGATTGCTCAAAGGTCAAAGTGCTGAAATGGCACCACTAAAGTTCTGGGTTCAAATCCAGTCAACCACCTGTCATTAAAACAGGTGTAGAGAGCTAATGGTCTCAGAACAATATGTAACGATTGCACAACATCTGGTTCTGAATATGAATTCAAGCTACAGTATTAAGTATATTAGTTGGACAAACATCACCCTCAATGACAGGGCATCTGGGAAAGTGCTACTACCCCTTACTATGTGGACCAGATTTGAAGGGATATCAGAGGCAACTTCATTATATATCCACTTCCGTGGGGCATCTTCTAATGGACACTCCATCTTATAACTTGATAATTACACTATTGGGGTGAAATTGGGGGAAAAAGAAAAAGGAATACATGTGTAATAAACCTTCTCGAGGACGGCTCTTGGAATCAGTTCTTTATTTTTCACTTCCACAGTTACACACACTCCTCGTTGCTGACAGGCAACGGGAAGCGGGCAGACAACCAGCTCAGTCACTCGCGCACGTGGCACCCAGAGCCCCGTACGCGCGTGGCTCCTGCTCTCTTCGTTCCCAGGTCTGCTCCCGACTCCCTCGTCTCTCCCCCTCTTCATCCCTCGGTCACGTGGTACCCCTCAGCCAATCCTCCGTAGTCCGCCCAGCCCGTTCCAGATCATTCCCCGTCAATCCCGGGACCACGCCTCTGATCCGGCTTCCCATTAGCTGAGGTTCAACTTGGCCAAGCCAATGACCCTAGCTAACATGCCGTGATCACGCCGAGGCCATGCTCCCTGGTTCTCCCCTTATTGGCTACAAAGCGGGACCGGCAAGCCAATCGCCACGTGAGCCATACATGGCTCTTATTACACATAAGAGGAAGGGGTGGGCACCCTCACATACAGTATAGTTGAGGGACGGTGATACAAGAGAGGTATGAAGGCGATTTGAAAGAAAGGATGATGGCGGGGAAGAGGACATTTTATATGGAGAATACCAGTGTGGGACATAGGGTGAGGTGTAGACACAAGATTATTTGGCACATGGCTTACGATTCCTGCCATATTTCAGCAGTGGTGTTTTGAATTTGTACGTATGAGTGTCAATGAGGAGTAATAATTTGTAGATATTTTTTATTTGTTTATAAAACCCAGTAAACAAACTACTGAAATATGTATAATTCAGATGGCATTACTGTACACTCATGTGCTGGTGTGCCCAGTCACACCGACGTCACATTGGATGCTGGGGGACTGCTGCATTGGAAATGGCTACAGTTATGGCAGTGTCAGTTTGGCGATGGAACTCTACTTTTTGTTTTAAAAACATTTTTTTTGTCATTTGTTCTAGCCCAGGGGTATAGCTTGGTTGGCATGGGCCTTGACGCAAGCAATTAAGTGAGGACCCCCTTGTCTAATTCCCTCCCCCCCTTCGTAGCCCAGCGCCTGGGCCGCCCTGAACCTTGAGTCCTGGTGTACACTCGATAGCTACGCCACTGGCTCTGCATCTATGTTCTCCCCATTGTAGTGACATAAGAAGGGAGGGGCTGCTGGGGGCTCTGGGTTCCCGGGCGGGTCCAGACGCTTAAGCCTCTGGGCGCCAGGCGCTGGGTTCCCAGGAGGTCCAGACGCTTAAGCCTCTGGGCGCCAGGCGTTGGGTTCCCAGGCGCTTAAGCCTTTTGGCGCCGCCAACGGGGGGGGGGCTGTGTGTGCTCTGTGGGATGTCTGGTGGCGCACACGGCCCCACCCCTCGTTGGACTAGGCATAAAAAGGGGAGCTCCCTAGACGATCGGGGCCAGTTGTAACTCAAGACCCAAGACCCACGACCAGCCATCTGAAGACCCTGGGATGTTGTGAGAGCGAGTGGTGGGACTCTGGAACTCCCAACTCTACGACCTTGTGAGGGCGAGTTCCAGAGCGTAGCCAGAGTAGAGTATCTAGGCTGTGTACCTAGGCTGTAACAGAGTATCAGGACTGTTGGAGTGTTGTGTTGTAATAAAGAAGTTACCTCTACAAGTGTCTCCGGAACCCGTTACATTTGGCGTCAGAAGTGGCAATGGAGACAAGAAGTAAGCCACGTACCTTCAGTCCTGACGGCGATGTTGAGGAGCAAGCGGCGATGGGGCAGCCAACTCGGGCAGACAACGACGCCGCACCGCCGGCTGAGCAGTCGTCCACCACACCTGCCGATCCTCCTCCAGCGTCGGGAGCAGCAATGGAGGAAACGCTGCTTCGCCTCACCGAGCTGCTCCACGCCACCGTCTCCATCCTGGACGACATGCGTCGCTCACAGGCGGAGGCAGGAGGGAGAGAGGCGGCGCAGGGGCCGCACCATCCCGCCGGCTCCCACACAAAGATGGCAGCCGTTCCCGCCGCAAATGCATCCGGGTGTGTCATCACTTCTGCCGGGGGAGCAATGACCGCTGGGAGCGACGTCACTTCCGGGCCCAGCGTGGGCCAACCCGACGACGCCGCGTTATCAGCGCTGCGTCCCTCACCGCCGGGTGACAGCTGTTTGCAACCTAGCAACGCCGCATCATCAGCGCTGCGTCCCTCACCGCCGAGTGACAGCGCTGCGAACGCGAAGCCAGCTTCAGCCGGGTTGCCAGGCAACGAGCGCTTGGCTCACGTCCAGCAACGCCTGCCGGAACAGCGTTCGAACGCCGGTTCGTCTCTCTTATAGAGACGTCCGGCTGGTCGGAGTATGAAGCGCTCCAGGGCCTCCTGGCCATGCTCGACGACGACTCCCTCGCAGCACTCCTTGTGGTGCCACGGGCGAAACGTGCCGCGCTCACGGATGCCCTTCATCAGATGCGGCTGATTTATGGACCCCCGTCCAAAGCACGTCACCGCTTCGATGCGAGAAGGAAGAAGGCCTCCGAGTCGGCGATGGGGTACTGCAGCGCCCTGCTGGCCATGGCGCGGGTTGCCTACCCTCGCATGGATGAAGACGCTGTGGAGTCACTCGTGCTGCAGAAGCTCATGAGCTTGGCCCGCCAGCTTCGAGTTGCCATGCCGACAGCCGACGACGACGACGACTTCACGTCGCTACGTGCTGCCAGGTGCATCCAAGCACACCTACATTGCGATGAGGACACGACCATCGCCGCCTGCGCAGGCCCACCTGATGCACATGCCTATGACGTGCATTCGGGGCCTCATCAGGCCTTCGTGGCAACAGAAAATCGCGGATCGTCCAACTGGCGATCCCAGCGAGATCACCACCAGCGGGACCGGCCAATCTCGCGCCAGGATGGGGCGTCCATTGTCTGCCACAACTGTGGCCTTCGGGGCCATGTCGCGTCCGGCTGCCAGGGTCCCCCGACTGCCGGACTTCAGGACCTCCGGCGCCTCGGCCACCAGTGTCAGTTTGGCGAATGGAACTCTACTTTTTGTTTTAAAAACATTTTTTTTTGTCATTTGTTCTGCCCAGGGGTATAGCTTGGTTGGCATGGGCCTTGACGCAAGCAATTAAGTGAGGACCCCCTTGTATAATTCCCTCCCCCCCTTCGTAGCCCAGCGCCTGGGCCGCCCTGAACCTTGAGTCCTGGTGTACACTCGATAGCTACGCCACTGGCTCTGCATCTATGTTCTCCCATTATTAACTTTTGTCTGCTTCCTTCCAAATCCGAGTTTTTGTCACTGCCACGCAAAATCAACGTCACATGTCACTAAGTGGTGGTGATGTCGACCATGGCGCATGTGGCATGCGGGCCGCACCTTGAGGCCACAGCGAAGTTGTCGAAGGCTCCCTGGCAGGAGGTCACGGGACAGACACGGGTGTTCATAGATTGACCGATTGAGATAACTGGGAGATGCACCAACTGTGCTCCCCGCTCTGCCAGCTTGCTGCATTTGAAAACAACTTACATTTGTCGTCATGTTAAAAGGGGGGCAGAGTCGTTTTCTTCCTACCGTTTTGGGACAGTGTGGCTGTTCGCAATTTTTCATTATTTTTAAACAGTTTTATTGTTTACAAACACCATCCTGAATTCGATCATCTTTGACTACATTTGTTATGAAGGTGCCGAATTAAGAAATAGACTCAACTTTTTGCTGACCGGTGCTCTACTCGTCGTTTGAGCATCGCTATTCTGCCTCCGCGATAGGGCAACTGCCTCCAACTGCCCAGTAGGGAGCCATCCATTTAGTACGTACGCAAAAATCTGTCAAAACTTGACCTTTCCCCCCCTCCCTGTACGCATGCGTACTTTTTACACCCCCCCCCCCCACCTGCGTACGCTTGATGCACCCCCGAATCTTATAGAACGGCTGATATTTAATGCACGCAGAAACGATCAAAAACTAATAATATTAACGTGTTTAAGCAAACAGATAGTCCACCGCCGGACTATGTAACTAATTTGAAGGCCAAAGTAGATACATTACACTGTGTAACAATTTTTTATTAGTAGTAAGTGTTATTTCCTAATTGCGTATGCCTCAAAAGTACAGAAAATGGCTATTATTCTCCACAAACTTTGCTTTTGTGACCAGGACAGTAATAATTGGAAATTTACCTATGTTCCAGACATTCCAGATAGATTCAGTGCTGAGTAAACTTGGAGTAACTTCTAGCACATTCTAGAACTTTCCAGTAATATAAATAGTAGTATAAATACGGGGGCTTTAAGCTCACCAGTTCAGTTTAGTTCCAGCTGCCGAAGTGGTTACATATCTGTATTTTTCTGAGAGGGCATCAAGAGGCTGCAAGCATCCGGCAGACGCATTTTGCTACGTCTGCGGCCAATTTATCAAGACAAGAGTGAAAAAGTACTCTGTGGAAGCATCTGCTAAGATGTGTGAGGCCTACAAGGCATATTTCGGCATGCCTGTCGGGGATCAAGACAAACCCTGGGCACCTCATTTCACCTGCGAGCAATGAAAAAAAACTCTGGAAGGTAAAATGGACAATTGTTGCTCGGAATTTTATGTTATAAATTTTGTTTCAAAAATGTTAAATTGGAATTTTTTTTTACAATTTTCAATGTTATTGAAAACATAAATCATATATGAAAAATGTTGCGATAATCTCTTACACATTAGTCATGGGTCAAATAAATGTATTTATGTAGGATGGTACAGAGGGGAAAAGAGAGCCATGAAGTTCGCTGTCCCAAGAATTTGGCGGGAACCCACTGACCACTCAAGCAACTGCTACTTCTGCATGGTGAACCCTTCCTAACGTCGGACTGGCAAGAATGCACCTGTTATAACGTATCCGGACCTTCCTTCATCCATCGCCCCGGTGCCACACTGCCATGAGCTCCTCGTACCCACTCCTCCGGAGAGAGAGCAGCCATCTTTAGAAGAAAGCAGCAAGTCAGAGAGCGAGTAAGACGTTGTAGATCCAGATGACAATTTCAGAGGTGGAGCTGAGGAGAGAAACCCATACTACCCCAACCAAAAAGACCTCAACGACTTGATCAGAGATCTTGGTCTCACCAAGTCCAATGCCGAGCTTTTGACGTCTAGGCTCAAGCAGTGACGGTTGCTTGTTTTGCAATCGAAACGTCGTATTCTTATTTAATTTATTTTATTTCTACGTGACTTTACCGAAAGAACCAAAGAGTAATTCCTGCAGTCACGAAAGCTCCAAATCAAGTTTGAACCACCTCTACGGGGAGGATGTAAGTTTGTTTTCTCTCGTTCTGTGTGTCTGAGGATGTAAGTTTGTTTTCTCTCTCTCTCTCTGTGTGTCTCTGTCAAATTTCACACTTAACTTCAAATTTAGCAATCGTTGGAAATCGTAATAAACCAGGCTATGCATTAACTGTGTGTTAGCCGACTCTCTGTGTTGCATTGCATTACATTTCCAATTTTTTTCTAAGTTTGTTTTCTCAAACGGCCTATTCTCTCTCTAAAATTGACCAGGCTCTCATAGGTCCATTCGCTCTTTCTCTCACCCGGTCGCTTCGGGGTGGATTTCCACACATCTCTCTGTGTCTCTGTTTGTCAATTTTCACACTTAACTTATAATTTTAGCAATCTTTGGAGATCGTAATCAACCAGGCTATGCGTTAACTGTGTGTTAGCCGACTCTCTGTGTTGCATTGCATTACATTTCCAAAAAATTGCAAAATTTTGTTTTCTCAAACTGCCTATTTCTCTCTCTAAAATATACCAGGCTCTCATAGGGCCATTCGATCTTTCTCTCCCTCGGTCGCTTCGGGGTGGATTCATTGACATGTTAATTTCTCTGCTCCAGCAGCTGCCCCAGCAGACCCACCTCTCTCTCTGCCCCCCCCCCCTCTCTCTATTTAAGGCCTCGACACAGAGGCATTGGGTCTCTGTGTGTCTATGTTGTGTGTCTCTCTCTGTGTTGTCTCTCTCTGCTTGTGTGTCTGTCTGTGTGTCTCCGTGTCTGTGTTTTGTCTCTCAAATTTTGTTCTATCTGATTATGGTTGCTTGTGTTGCAATCGAAACGTTGTATTCTATTATTTAATTAAAACATTTTCTATGTGACTTTACCGAAATAACCAAAGAGTAATTCCTGCAGTCACAAAAGCTTAAAATCAAGTTTGAGCCATAAAGAGATTAATCAACCTGATGCAGTATGTATTGTGTTTTTTTCTATACATCCCCTCCACTCTAATAATATTCGTGATCTCAGTCGATTTTTGTAAGAAAAAAATGAATCGATGCTTTTTAATATCGATGTGTGTAAAATTTGACTATTAACATATCCTTTGATCGACAATTCGACAAATTGTCGCGAATCTGAACAAAATGTTATCGTTTAAAAAAAATTGCATTCGAATCGTGATTGTTTTTATCGAATAACTGGCGGCGGTGTGCAGGTGATGGGGAAACCTTTCCTGCTGTTGTGTATTTACCATGATTTACTGACGTTACAGGAAATGCTGTTACTGAGCGAGTCATGCAAAGCTAGAAATAGACAAATACAGACAGCATGGGGTGGGTGTGGAGGAACACTTTGACACTCTGCGGTAGCACTTTCAAACGCTCAGTAACATTGTGCAATGCTGACTTTATATCATATCGCAATTAAGGTTTGTTGCTGCTGTGTGTTCCTTGTGATTTATATCTGTGATCGAATCTCGCTATCGATTTATCATTCTCGTGTCAGCCTGCCGTTCCGTGCTCACTTAACGTCCGCGACACACACGGTTAACTGAGCGCCGCGCACAAGGTGATGTTACCCTGGGTGTGATAACTGCTGACCTTTGCCCGTTTCCTACCACCCACCCTGCCGGGAAAGACAATCGAGGGCCAAAGAGTCGGCGGCTGCTGAAGACGAAGTAAACGATTCTCATTGAGAAAATCTCTGCAATTAAAAAGGGCGATTTCCCGAAACGTCAGGAATGTGTTGAGTTTTGTTATTTATGCAACAGGAATCGGCGAAAGCATTGGTTATGTTTCATCATTATCATCAGTATCATAACCAGCCATAATAAATCCACCCAAGCTGTCGCTATCTCTAACTGTCCTGCAATGCAACATTTTAAAGCAATCTTAAACCAAGCATTTGCGGGCGGGCGGGGGGGGGGACTCCAGTCTCACCCCTTCCTCCCTTCCACATCTCCCCCATTCCCCTCCCCTCCTTTCCTCACCGTAGCACGCACAAAATTCGCTGTGGCACTGCCAACCCCCACGTGCGCCGCCGCTGCTCTCGCGCGGACCGAGCGCGTTTTCACGATCGCGATGCGCATTTTGCGAGAGACGAGAAATTGAACCGAGCTCCCCGCGAAGAAATATTGCGCCTCCGAGGTTTATACTATTGTTGTATAGCGGGTATCCCCTCACCCTCACCCACTCTCCCCGCCCAGAGCTCATCTCACTGAAAACACGAAGTGTATTATACGAGGAGGAGGAGAAGGCATGTGAGGGACATTCAGGTGTTTCTTCTGAACTCTGGGATCACAAATCACGAAAACGAACAGGGAAAAAATTTAATTAATAAACAAAGGGGTGGCTGTGGGGTGGGGGAGAAAGCCAATACAGTTCTCGCGGCAAGAATTTGAACGACAAATAGTCCTTCTCAAACAAACATTTTATACATTACAGTGCTTAATCAAATTCCTGGTTTCCTACGACATGGCTTTCTATTGTTGACTCAGTAATGGGTGGCCTGTTTACCACGTAGGGCGCACACTGTGCACATAACCCTGCTTCTCACATCCAGAACCCCCCCTCCCACCTTTGGCCAGGCTTCTGTGCATCGCATCCCATGTGCCTCGAGTCCTTTGACTCTCCTTCCGAGAGGCGAGCTGCCCGCGTGCGCTATTCGTATGCAGTCTTGTGTTTTGCATGTTCGCGCACACGAGCAATGATACCCCCCTCCCGCTCCGTCTCTGCGCTTTGCTCGCTCTGCGCATGTGGCCACCATCCGCGCTGTCAGCCGCCTCGCATCGTGAGGCTCCTTGCCACAGCGAGCGTGAGCGCCCCGCCTCTGCCTACCCGCACCCTTTTGCGCTCCCCTCACGCCCCACTCCCTCCCCCCACCCTCACAAACCATCCTCTCTCTCCCTCCTCGCTTCCCCCCCACCACCACAGCCCGACCTAATCCCAGCTCCTCTCTCTCTAATGCTCACTCTGCTTCGTGCGAGACGAACGCACGCACGCTGCACGCGCGCTCCCACGTCTCACGTCGCTCGGGCACAGATACGGAGGGAGGACTACGTCAGCATCGTCGCGTTCCAGCGAGGGACCGACCCATCTCTGGTGCCCAACACTGCACGCGAGCTCCTCACCAACAGTGCTTAGTTGCAGCACCTGCCTCGCGAGAGCGCGCGTACTGCGTAATTGACTTAAGCGCAGCGCTCTTTGCCGCGCAGACAGCGCACGCGGCCCGTGCGCTTGGCGTAGCAATGGTTAGCTGCGGTATCGGAATGGTCTGTCCTGTTATGTACAAACGAAACATGATAACTGTAGGAGCCGACCGAGAGAACATTCGGAAGATTGTATTGACAGGCTTTTTCTGAGCGGTGTTGCTGGGTGGTGGTACTACTGCTGCTGCTGCGTTCGCCCCGATGCGATCGGCGCGTTAGAGAGCGAGCAACCATTGAGAGCGGTTTTGCGAGTCCAACCGACCACGTCGCTTCAGCTGCCGCCGCTGCTGCTGCTGAACCTTTGTCCTGCAGGAGTCCGTCGCCTGTCCGCGCGCGTCTCACGCAGGTGATTGCTCGCGACTGCGCGGTTCGCACTTTCTTTTGACGGGCATGGAGCGAGACACAGAGAGATGTTCATCAGCGATTTGTCTTTGACCTTGTGTGTGCTGCATAGTCGAGGTGGCTAGTGGAACAGTCAAGTCTTAAGATCGCATCTCCTCCTTTTCACATTTTAAGACCACGTCAGGTCAAATCGCTCCCCTCGGTGACTGCTGATTTCGCTGTGACCTTTTCACGTGAGCTGTATTCGGTGACTGTTGAAAGCTGCGAGACGACCCTGGACTGTACATGCGCGAGCGTCGAACGCATTCGAGTACTTTTTGCAGGATTCTCATCACCGCTCTTCCATAGCACAGCGAATTTACAGTGGATATGGCCAGCTCTTGAATGAATGCATTTCTCTAGTCCTGGAGTAGGTATTTAGATAACTAGTTGGGTAGGCATGTCTGTCGGTTGATAGTCACAATAATCAGAAACTATGACCGCTTTTCGCATCTGAGGGTATATAATAGCATAGAGGCTGCACTCACGCCTGAAGCGCGATGCAGGCGCCCCGTATGCTCGCACGTCGGTGAATCTGTCCATTCCTCTTCTCTGGGCGTTGCGGACGGCGCGGACTTAAGGTGGACTGCGGGAATGGGCAATAAGCGGTGGCGTGGGCTTGGGTACATTGAGAGAAACAATGTAAATGCGTCTCAAACGAGCAATGATGTTGCTGGTCATCTTCTGTTGGTGACACTGAGCCAATGGTGGAAATAATCCACATTTTCATCGCCGGGGGCAAGTCTGCACATTGAGTCGCCGCTGTGGTCTCTTTCTTATGCATGTACGTGCCATAGCCCCTTTGTCAACTCACTGCTGGATGAAGGTCTGCCAACGCCGTGCGTATCGTAAAGGTTGGTGAAGCACGCTATATAGTCCATAGCAATGGCGGAGCCAGGATTTTCAGGTAGGTGGGGGGCAACCCCTCCAGCAATGAAAAATGATAAGAGTTGTTAGTAAGTAAGGACTTGTCCCTTGTTTTTTATTCGAAAGTGTAGCCATCGATCGAGGGTCGAATTCGAACCGTGTGTTGTCGGCATCGCACTCGCTGAAGGTATGCCTTCAGGGAAGTCGTGTACTGCAGACGCAACTGTGCACAATTCTGATTCACTTCTTTGCCGTTACTTATTGCCAATTATGGACTCAGACTATTGTCCTATCATCTCATAGAGTCCCTTTCACATAATAACATGCTACAAAGTGGCAGTGCGGGTCGCAAATTGCCGATTTATTACTGATCCGATCGAAATTATGGATTTCGATCAGATCATTGGGGGGGGGGGGGGGGCACGTCCCACCCCACCCCCCCCACTGGCTCCGCCAGTGGTCCATAGTAAATTAGGATACTAATGTATGCGTCGTGCTGTCTATGCGTGTGTGTAGTTGTTTTGATTGTAGAATCTGTTATTTTCTATGCTCATGCATTAGTTAAACTTCTCACGTCTCCCTTGAAAAATAGATTTCAATCTCAATGAGCTTTTATCCGACTAAATAAAGATATCTGTCTGATGGCGTTTGTATGGCTCTTGAAGCGACACTATCCTGCATTGACAAAGAACATCGAGTCGTAACACGTCGGTTGTTTTCCTGTCGCAGAGACTCGTGCAATGCAAAGGAAATCGTGGCTGATGGTGATATAGGGGGATCACAACCTTCTATTCACGAAATAATTAGTCATTTTATGTAATATAACAATGTACAGCCCTTTGTGAATCCACTTCTGGATAAGTACCTCCCCGTGGGGGTTGGTTGACCATACTAGGTCAATGCGGGGTCAGTGCAGATTGGTGAAAAGGACGGGGAGTGTGGAGAGGGGGATGGCGTAGGACTGGTTCAGACATCGCTCTCCACTGATGTTGTTTTCCGTGCGAGGGGAATGTAACTCAAGGCAGTGCCCGTTCGTTAACCACTGCGCCACCACACTACCTACCATTTTTCATGTATCATCCGTCTAATACACGAGTAAACGTTAATGGTTACGATGATATACTTTAGATAATAATAGATACGATGCTGTCAGTCTGTGTACGGTATGCCAGTCTTCAAAATGTTGGCTTCCTATGTTTTCGCGTGCGTGATTTACGTGGTTATATTATGTATGGAGACACCTGTGATACAGAATTGTAAAGGAGGGATTAGTGAGTCATGCCGAGCGCACTAGTTGTACAATACTTTCAACCTGCTAGGAAAGGATCTGACCTCAGGTGGCAGTTCAGCAGGTAGGTTCGCTTGACCTCTCTGTGCAGGTGTTGTTGCCTTATTTACTTTGGTCCGGGTACTCCGGTTTCCCCAAACCGGTCAAAATACGTAACACATGCAATTAGTCAAGGTATCCGAAGAAGGACCTTCATTAAAAACAACTTTGAAGACCCGGTGAAGATTTAGAGTACTGTACTGTATTTGGCTGCTATAAATTTCCACGTGATAAGCTATTTCGTTCAGCGGAAATTTGTGGCAAGGTCGCTTCTGAAAATGAGCTCTGGAGCTCATATTTTGAAAGAAAGTCGTATTCGGTCCCAAGTAAGGAGAAGGTTTTCCCCACCCCCCCTGCGTTAAAGGGATGGGGGAACCTGATCCTGCCGCTCCAGCCAGCGGTCGACCATGGGGTGAACGGCACTGAGGGACGAGCGAGCGGCTACGCGCTGGAACGCTCCTTCCCCGGTGTGCCGCGCTATCGTCCCACATGCGGCCTCCGCCCTTGACTCTTCCGCCACCTCATCCTCTTCTTTGGCGGGGGGGGGGGATGGAGAGGGGACGAGAAGGAGTGAGGGATTGGAGGGGAGGAGGCTGGCAATAATTGCAGCCACTCCTCCTCTAAACTGAAATTTTCGGTTTAGTTAAGTTCCTATGCAAAAAAAAGACCGTCATTCGTCGAAATAACACTCAGTGAGAGATAATGCACACGGGAGTGCATCGACGGATGAGCGTGAATGGCCAATGGTTAAGAATGCATCCCGGGTGAATGCGTGTGAATGTGAAGTGAAAGAGAATGAATGACGGGTGGGTGATTGTGATTGCTAGTTAGGTGGTTTGACTGTGAGAGTGAATTTTGGGCAGGTGAGAGTAGGGGTTGGGTGGGTGATTGTGACTGTCTGACAGGTGATTGTGAGTGTCGGGCAGGTGAGAGTGGAAGCTGGGTGGATGAATGTGAGTGTCTGACGGGTGAGAGTGGGGGTTGGGTGGGTGATTGTAAGCGTCTGACGGGTGAGAGTGGGGGTTGGGTGGGTGATTGTGATCGTATGACGGGTGAGAGTGGGGGTTGGGTGGGTGATTGTAAGCGTCTGACGGGTGAGAGTGGGGGTTGGGTGGGTGATTGTGAGTGTCTGACGGGTGAGAGTGGGGGTTGGGTGGGTGATTGTGAGTGTCTGACGGGTGAGAGTGGGGGTTGGGTGGGTGATTGTGAGTGTCTGGCAGGTGAGAGTGGGGGTTGGGTGGGTGATTGTGAGTGTCGGGCAGGTAAGAGTGGGAGTTGGGTGGGTGATTGTGAACTTCTGGCGGGTATGAGTGGGGGTTGGGTGGTTGATTGTGAGTGTCTGAAGGGTGATTGTGAGTGTCTGGCGGGTGAGAGTGGGGGTTGGGTGGGTGATTGTGAGTGTCTGGCACGTGAGAGTGGGGGTTGGGTGGGTGATTGTGAGTGTCTGGCGGGTGATTGTGAGTGTCGAGTAGGTGAGAGTAGGGGTTGGGTGGGTGATTGTGAGTTTTTGGCGGGTGTGAGTGGGGGTGGGGTGGGTGATGGTGAGTGTCTGGTGGGTGATTGTGAGTGTCGAGCAGGTGAGAGTGGGGGTTGGGTGGGTGATTGTGAGTGTCGGGCAGGTCAGAGTAGGGGTTGGGTGGGTGATTGTGAGTATCTGGCGGGTGAGAGTGCGGGTTGGGTGGTTGATTGTGAGTGTCTGAAGAGTGATTGTGAGTGTCGGGCAGGTGACAGTGGAGGTTGGGTGGGTGATTGTGAGTATCTGGCGGGTGAGAGTGGGGGTTGGGTGGTTGATTGTGAGTGTCTGAAGGGTGATTGTGAGTGTCGGGCAGGTGACAGTGGAGGTTGGGTGGGTGATTGTGAGATTCTTGGGCGTGATTGTGACTGTCTGGCGGGTGATTGTGACTGTCGAGAAGGTGAGAGTGGGGGTTGGGTGATTGTGAGTGTCGGGCGGGCTAGAGTGGTGGTTGGGTGGGTGATTGTGAGTTTCTGGCAGGTGTGATTGGGGGTTGGGTGGGTGATTGTGAGTGTCTCGCGGGTGATTGTGGGTGTCGGGCGTGTGAGAGTGGGGATTTGGTGATGGTGAGTGTCTGGCGGGTGATTGTGAGTGTCGAGCAGGTCAGAGTGGGGGTTGGGTGGGTGAATGTGAGTTTCTGGCGGTTGTGAGTGGGGGTTGGGTGGGTGATTGTGAGTTTCTGGCGGATGTGAGTTTGGGTTGGGTGGATGATTGTGAGTGTCTGGCAGTTGATTGTGAGGGTCGAGCAGGTGAGAGTAGGGGTTGGTTGGGTGGATTGTGAGTGTCTGGCGGGTGATTTTGAGTGTCGGGCGGGTGAGAGTTGGTATTGGGTGCATGATTGTGAGTTTCTGGTGGATTAGTGAGCGTCTGTCGGGTGAGTGATTTTCTGCCGGGTGAGAGTGGGTTTGGGTGGGTGATTGAGTTTATGATGGGTGAGTGTCTGGCAGGTGATTGTGAGTGTCTGGTGGGTAGGAGTGGAGATCGGGCGGGTGAGTGAGTGTCAGGCGGGTGAGTGTGCGTTTCGGGCGGGTCAGTGTCGTGTGGGTAAGAGTGGGGCTTGGCTGGGTAAGTGTGCGTGTTGTGTGGCTGAGCGTTGGGTGAGTGTTGTGTGGGTGGGTGTGAATGTTAGGTGTGTGGGTTTGTGTGTTGGGTGGGTTAGATTGAGTATCTGGTGGGTAAGTGTGAATGTCGGGTGAGTGTGAGTGTCGGGCGGGTGAGAGTGGGGGTTGGGTGGGTGAGTGTGAGTTTCTGTTGGGTG